CATACCTTCTGCGTGAATGTCATGCAGGATGAGTTGGAAATCTTGAGCTTGGCTGATCACAGTTTTTGAATCAACCATTACAAAATCCAGGAATCTGCCAACCACAAATTTCTTTGAGCCGGCATCTTCCGTTTTGTATTTTTTCTCCAAAGACTCCCAGAGTTCCTTTGCTGTTTTGATAGGACTGTAGATGTTGTATAATGTGTTGTCAAGTCCGTTCAAGACGTAATTCCGACAAAGGAAATCGGCATGTTTCCAGGCATCAACCGCAGCAACCACTTGCCGGTCGGTTTCATCCTTTTTCAGGATAAGAGCATCTTCACGGAGAAAACGAGCCAGGTTCAGAGTTGTAAGATAGAACAACATTTTCTGTTGCCATCTTTTAAAGTCAATTCCTGAGATCTTATTATTCTAGTCTCTTGTCCAGTCTTCTTTGGAAATACATGTTCAAAGAAAGATGCATTCCGAGATTCAATAATAGTATTTACATGCATTTCGGAATGTTCTGATTTATGAATCAAAAACCGATATGCACTACTATTCTTGGCATAACTAATGAAAATGCAATCAATGGTCTTAGGACCTATCTTAGTCTTTTTAGGACTAGGAATAGCCACTTTAGCCAAACACCCCCACACTTTTAAGTATTTGGAGGATGGTACTCTTTCATGCCACAATTCATAAGGTGTTTGATTCACTTTCTTTCGGAATATTTTATTTAAAATATAATTAGCAGAAAGTATTGCTTCCCCCCACAAGTTCTGAGGTAATCCAGAACTGATTAACATGGCATTCATCATTTCTTTTAAAGTCTTATTTTTCCTCTCAGCAATTCCATTTTGCTGAGGTGAGTAAGGAGTGGTGGTTTGATGAATTATTCCATGCTCTTTACAAAACTCACCAAAAGGTGATTCATATTCACCACCTCTATCACTTCTAAGTTTCTTGATTTTTTTACCAAGTTGATTTTCAACTTTATTTTTATATTGAATGAAAGTTTCCAAAGTTTCATCCTTGGTTCGAATTAAATAAACATAACTATATCTAGTATAGTCATCTATAAAAGTGTTAAAATACTTTTTCCCACCTCTAGTTTGAATTGATTTAAAATCACAAATGTCACTATGAATTAATTCAAGTGGTTCCGTACTTCTTTCAATTGAATGAAAAGGAGTTTTAGATAATTTTGCCTCAACGCAAACTTGACATTTATGATTTGAATCAATGTTAAATTTAGGTAAACATTTCATATTAATTAATCTACGCAAAGATCCATAATTAACATGTCCTAGTCTACCATGCCATAAATTTGAAGACTCAAGCAAGTAAGAAGAAGATGTAGTTTTATTAATAACTGAGGGTACAATGTTCATTACATTTAACTTGAAAAGGCTATCAGACATGCAACCTTTTCCTACATACATCCCGTTTTTGGTAAGTACAAACTTGTCACTTTCAAAAACTAGCCTAAACCCATTCTTACTCAACAAAGATCCGGAAACTAAATTCTTGCGAATGTCCGGTACATGCAGCACATTGTTGAGAGTGAGTTCCTTTCCAGATGTTATCTTGAGTGCAATCTTTCATTGTCCTTCAACTTTGGAAGTTGAGGAGTTGCCCATAAAGAGTTGTTCACCATTGTCCACTATAGAATAAGATGTGAATATCTTTTTGTCGGCACAAATATGGCGAGTAGCACCAGTGTCCACCCACCATTCTTTAGGATTTCCGACAAGATTTGCCTCGGAAACAACTACAGAAAGATAGATATTATCTATACCATTAGAAATATTATCCACTTTAGTCATGTGGGCTTGAGCAGGCTTCTTGCTTGTTCTTCTTTTGCTTTTGCCTTTGCTACGACAGTCTTTGGCCCGATGTCCCTCTTTGTCACAGATGTAACATTTGCCATTAAACTTGTACTTTTTATTATCCCCCCCTTTAGAGCCTTGTGATGAACTTTCTCTAGAAAACTTTCGTTTTTTAGTTTTTGAAGCATGTTCCACCACATTTGTCTTAGACTCCATAGGATGCTTACCAGCCCGCTTTTCAGAATTACGGTTGTCCTCCTCAATCCTTAAACGCACAATTAATTCGTCCATAGAAATTTCTTTGCGCTTGTGTTTGAGGTAGTTCTTGAATTCCTTCCAGCCTTTCGGTAATTTTTCAATTAAGGCTGCAACTTGGAAGGATTCACTGAGAGACATGTCTTCTGTGTGAATGTCATGCAGAATGAGTTCGAAATCTTGAGCTTGGCTGATCACAGTTTTTGAATCAACCATTACAAAATCCAGGAATCTGCCAACCACAAATTTTTTTGAGCCGGCATCTTCCGTTTTGTACTTTTTCTCCAACGATTTCCAAAGTTCCTTTGCTGTCTTGATTGGACTGTAAACGTTGTATAATGTGTTGTCAAGTCCATTCAAGACGTAATTCCTACAAAGGAAATCGGCATGTTTCCAAGCATCAACCGCAGCAACCACTTGCCGGTTGGTTTTATCCTCTTTCAGGATAGGAGCATCTTCACGGAGGAAACGAGCCAGGTTCAGAGTTGTAAGATAGAACAACATTTTCTGTTGTCATCTTTTAAAGTCAGTTCTTAAGAACTTATCTGGCTTTTCTCCATGATTTATTGGCACTGTCACCACAGGAGAGGGGGTTGGCGTCATTGCAGCCACCACAGTAGTACTTGTTTGGGCATTAGTTTCAGTAGCCATCAATTCTAATATATAAAACAAAATTATAATTAGAATTTACACTACACAGAAAATTAAACCAAATTCACAGAATTAAATTCTGTAAAAATAAAAGAAACAAGAATGTAACTTTTATTTTCCAATTAATTTGAAAATAAAATAAAATTTTATTCAACAAGGTGAGTAAGGAGCAGTGGTTTGATGAATTATTCCATGTTCTTTACAAAACTCACCAAAAGGTGATTCATATTCACCACCTCTATCACTTCTAAGTTTCTTGATTTTCTTACCAAGTTGATTTTCAACTTCTGTTTTGTAGAGTTTAAACATTTCTGAGGCTTCATCTTTACTTCTAAGTAAATAAACATAACAATATCTTGTGCAATCATCGATAAATGTTATGAAATACTTTTTGCCACCTCTAGTTTGGATGATTGACCCCCCCAAAAAGGAAGGAAACGTTAGCTTATTAATAATTTTAGATTAAGCGGATGAAAGACCGGTTTAGTGGATCATTGGCCCATAAAAAAAAAATTGAAATTTAGATCATAAATAATTTTAGATTAAGTGGGTGAAAGACCTTGGATAATTTTCTTTCGAAATTATTTACGAAGAATGAAAAAGGGAAACAAACGAAAAATTCTGTAAACAGAATAATTCGAATCTGTCTTAAGATTGTTGGAACAATCTTCTGTGTAAATAAAATAACTTGAAATAAATTCAAACAAAATAAATAAACAACATACCGGATTTATTTATCGAACCGAATTAAAATTAAGACCAAGTCGAGTGTGTGACACTCTGTCCTTAAGACAGATTCGCCCCGCTACGGTGTTTACGGTTGAGCGGCGTCTATCTCCCAGGATACAATGATCTTCACAAATTGTAGTAGTACTCCAAACAATTTGTTCGGTGAACCAAACCTATGTTCTAACTCTCTGAAATTTATTCCTAAAAAATGAAGATTAATGCACTAATGCACCAAAGATAACAAACTGGACATCAAATAATATTTCAGACTGATTTTTGGGATCATCTCAACTGCTAGAAAGTATCTATATTTATAGGCAAAAAATTAGACCGGAAAAGGTACTTCCTTGAAGTGAACAGGTGCATAACAAAATTGAACAGGTTTAGTCCAAATTTATTTTTTTAAACAAAATTGCAACCTGTTAAAATACAAACAAATCCGGACCGTTTGCACAACCAACACCAATAATTCAAACTTAGAACCGTAGTGGACTAAGTCAACATGAAGGAACTTTAATTTAATTTAAACTATTGAAATATATATATATATATATATTAAACTATTTGAATATATATATATATAACTATTTGAATAGTTTAATCATTTTTAGGAAACCACTTAAGGAAACCAAAAAATAAATTTAGAATCAAATTAAATTCCCACAATATTTTTTTATTGAAAAAATTCAAATGAATTTTATCCAAAAAAAAAAATAATGTTAGACTCGAAAACGACGTCAATTTCCCATTCACTCATAAATGGTTTTGACGTTCCGTCTTCACCGTGTGACTTGCCACGTGGCAAGGAACACTTCACCTCTTCGGACCCGCCCTAAAATACGTTCGGGACCCACTCAAAAATGAGCTAAAAAATATGCCTATATTAAACCATTTTTCCAACAATATACAGGTTTCATCTATTGTTTATACTAGCTGTAATAATTAAACAATTATTTTACTTGTGCAGAATCAATTACAGAACCAGATACAACCCTCTCATGTAGGTGTGAGACTCACAAAAAGATGAGACTCACCTCATGTGAGAGGAATGTGTCCAGTTATGTGATCGATTTTTGTGTTATTAGACTTTTTCATAATTAAATTTTGTGAACTCGTTACTTTGGGTGTTGAAAATATAAGAATTTAGTACCAGTCTAGGAATTCATGATAGATTTCTAGATGCTAGCAAAACATGGTGAGCACTAATAGTAAATAAAATACAAATCAAACATGTGTAAAGTAGAGACTTGTAGAGATGTATGACCCGAAGGCCATACAGAGCTCCTAAAGAGACATAAGAAAACTCTAATTTCTTTACGATAAACTTCTTCCTTGTGTAATTCACAAGTGAACACCTACCTCTTTCTTTAGAGGTCTTTGGATACGTAAAGACTCTCAAACATTAAACCTAGGCATGTATCTTCACATGTGCTTATATCAAGACACATTGAACGTAAACGTGTGACTCTTACAATCCCAAGACTCTAATACATGAACACAACATTATAGTGTATTAAACATATTCTAAATTAAGTCCAACATCTAGGCACCACCACAGACTGATGAGCGACATGTATGCAAGACCAAAGCTGTGAAGGCAAGCATGGCAGAAACCGTCACCCAGATGTGCGTGTACCTTTGGCACACTACAAACATATCTGGTTTCTGTTGCTTCTCTTTTCGCCTTGAGGATGACCTGGGCAGATCAAAAGCCCCGTATCCAGGCCTGTCCATGTCATCCGTGTCATCCATGTCTATGTCTATCTCTATCTGCTGACTTTCAAGCAAAACCATCTCTTCATAATTGTCCTGCTGGTCCATTAAGTTCAGGTCATACTGATATTGCGTACGGATATATTTGATGATGGTGGTTGCAAAATTGAGGGCAAAGACAAAGGCAATCAACACAGAAAGAGAGAAAGGTTTCCACCAACTGCTACATTGGAGGGCTGAGGGTTTGGAAATTGACAGGAAAATAATGGATTGGAAGGCGATGTAGAACATGGCTAGGTGCATAGCCCTTGTTTCAAGGTACTGGACTCGTTTCTCTTGTTTACCATTGATGAATGTCAATTCTTTGTAGTTGTTACTCACTTTGCACCACTTTGCATCCATCTCCAGGGTGGGCTGGATGTTATTATTCCACATGCTTTGATCGACTTCTTCGGAGCTTGAACTCCGTCTTCACCTTCTGGGTATGCAATCCACGACACCCTTTTTAGTGAATGTGATGGTAGAAATACAATGCAGGAAATATTGAACTTTGGAGAAACTTCGAAGGAAAGCACAATGATCATCTGGAGTGAATTGGCGTTTTTGGTTGGCAAATCTGCCAAAAACTCATTTAAAAAAATCAGAAGCCAGGTTTAGAGAAACGTTTCTTTTTGCAAATGGCAGCGAAAAAGAGTTTACCAGTTCTTTTAGTAGAGGCTGCTCACTTGGACAATAAGGAAATGGTTTCTTCCAGGAAGGGGAAACAACTAGTTAGTTTCACTGCGGTTTCGGGTTGCTTTTTCAGGGTTTTCATCTTTGATATCATCAGATCTATTTATACTTAAGAAAATGAGTGAGAGCACTAATTAGTGTTATCACTAATGATGTGACAGTGGGTCCCACTTACTGTCACAGTAGAGAAATACTTTAGACTACTAATTAGTGGTGGCTCTAATGATGTGGCAGTGGATCCCACCCACTACCACAGCGTGTTTGTGCCTTGTTTTTTTTTTTTTTTTCAATTGCCATCTCACTAGTGGTTGGATTAGTGATGGCAAAATAATAGTCTATAGTATTGCTCGCCACAGTATTGTTGTGTCTGTTTTTTTTTTTTTTTTTTTTAAATGGATGTCACATTATTAGTGATTGCTTTAGAACACCACTTTTAATGGTCTCTATCATTGCCCTTATACTTATTATATACAGAGGAGGAAGTAAACTAGAAAAGTGGTTATCTTTCTTTAATTTTTGAATAATTTGTAGGTAAGCATAAAGTCATCAGGTTATTTTTTTAAGTTCTTATAGCATTAGAGACTGTACATTGGCCTGTCAAAGTCATGAGAAACCTCCGCGTTTCTTCGATGTTGGCGAGTAAGGTTAGAGATCTCAAATTTTATCAAATGTCTCATAGTCAGTGAGACTTTTGATAGAATTTTTAAGATCTCTAATATTACTCATTTTTTGTATTTTATTCTCAACATATAAGGATTCATTTCTGCTAAAATATGAGGTTAATAGACAACTTTGACTTTTTGAACTTTCCTTCCTCTAGTTGGGTAAAAGTTTTTGAGAAAATTGCAGAAAAAAAAGAAGAATATAAAATAATTGCAAAACGGTTGAAAATTAAAAAATAATAATTGCAGTGTTGATGTAAACTCAAAATTAATTACATGAACATGTTTACAATTACGTTTTAACTTCTCCCATTTTGATCTCAGCCTCTCTCTTTCTCTACACACTAGTGGCTGACCACACGTGCTCTACTCTTCTTGACCGCCAACCACCCTTCAACAATGTCCCCAGTGGTTGACCACTCATGTTCTACTCTTCCTGACCACTAACTACCCTTGTTCAACCTTCTCCAGTGGTTGGCCACCCCTGTTCTACCCTTTCCAACCATTGACTGTATGAACATAAAAGTACAGTCTTTTTTGTCATAATTATAATTGTTGAAGACATTCTAGATATTTACACAAAAAAAAAAAAAAAAAAAAACTATACAAACATGTATAAATGTAATTTGGATAAATTACAAACACACACCTCCTGAGATTTACTTAAATTATAAATTATCACTACAAGAAAATAAACTTTTGGCGACTAAAAAATTAGTCGCCAAATGTATTGATTTTAGTCGCCGAAACACTTTGCCGACTAAATAATTTGGTCCCTGGATTTGTCGGGGATACATAGTCGCCGAAGGAATTAGCGACTAAAATACATTTAGTCGCCATAAGTAGTACAAAATACCGACTAACGTGTTAGTAGGCAAAAAGAACAGGCATTGGCGACGAAAACAGTCGTAGTCGCTGATAAGTGACATTAGCGACTAACATGTTAGTCGCCCAAACCGTTCATTAATTTCTTTAACTCAAATATTTAGCTACTAAAGTTTTTGTCGCCAAAAATTACAATATCTACGGCGACGAAATTATTAGTCGCTAATAGTGCAACTTCAGCTACTAATGTTTAGTCGGCCATGATATGCTGCATTTTAGCTACTAAAGCAGGTAGTCGCCATAACTGTTTTCGAGTTCTTTTGGCTACTAAATATTTAGTCGCCAAAAGTCTTTTGAGTTTTAGCCAACACACATTTAGTCGCCATAACTGTTTTCCAGTTGTTTTTGGCTACTAAATTATTAGTCGCCAAAAGTCGTTTGAGTTTTAGCTACTATACATTTAGTCGCCATAAGTGTTTTTTTGATTCGTTTTGGCTACTAAATATTAAGTCGCCAAAAGATTTATTTATTTTTAGCTGCCAATTGATTCGTCACCAAAAGCGTCATGTTATATTATTGTTTTGTTTGTTTCATTTTACTAAATTTCGTCCGAACCTGTCTGTATCCAGCGCAACCTGTAATACATATACAACCTATATATATTATCATCTATTCCGTAATGCATGTTTCACTTACAACCATGAAACAAAAATTAACACCTGCTATATATATTCCAACTACAAATAATAATGTAAACTTATGTACAAACCAACTATATATATTCCAATTACAAATAATAACATCATATCCAAATACGTTACCAAAATTATGTCCTCTGTACACAACATTTTTACTGTACTATGCATTGTAATGACCATTTGACAAGGTACAAATTACTATGGTAATATGTATCACGATAAAAGGTAATCTATATTAATTAATGCTAGAGCCTTTAATACAAGCTCCAAAAATATTATGTACCCCACCATAATTTATATGTACGATGCATCCAAATTCCACGGTTCATTGATGCTATACCACCGGAGCAATTAATACAAGCTCCAAAAATACTTTGTACCCCGCCAAAAATTATATGTTCGATGCATCCATAGAAAAAGTATAGGACGACAAAAAACTTCCCAACTTTGCATGAGTGTGAATTATCTTCCGGGAAAAAATTAGAAGATTCACATGTCAATGCCAAAAGCCATTTACGCAACAAAAATTACACCCATTAGTTCCATTGTAAGCAAAAAGTTATAGCCATCTACAAAACACAAATTGTAAGGATGTCAATTGTAATTGAAATTGTATGTAAATATAGTTTGAATTTAGGAATTTCAATATTAAATTCTGTACACGTTAACTTGTATTTAAAGTGCAAAGAAATTTCCAAGTCAATCCCAACTCAAGTTTAGTCTAATGTGTAAACATATATATATTTTATTCATAACTGTACATATATAGAGATGGTTATAGAACATATATACATTTCTAAGCTTTAATATATAAGCTTTAATATATTTCTATAAGCTTTATGCATTTTTCACGCCAACTCCCAACGTACACGTGCTAATTACGTCCCGTCCGTTCCCACATGTTGTATTTGACACGAGGAAGCTACCCGTGCCATCAATACTGTGGTTCGGGGGCTGCTGTCAATTTTCGGCCCTCGAAGGCCTTTTTTCGGCTAAGTTTATGGCATTTTTCACCCCAACTCCCAACGTACACGTGCTAATTACGTTCCGTCTGTCCCCACAATTCCTATTTCACACGAGGAAGCTACCTATGCCATCCCCGCAGTGGTTCGCGGCTGCTCTCAATTTTCGGCACTCGAAGGCTTTTTTTCGGCTAAGTTTATGGCGTTTTTCACGCTAACTCCCAACGTACACGTGATAATTACGTCCCGTCTGTCCCCACAAGTCCTATTTCACACGAGAAAGCTATCCGTGCCATCCCCGCAATGCTTCGGGGGCTGCTCTCAATTTTCGGCCCTCGAAGGCCTTTTTTCGGCTAAGTTTATGGCGTTTTTCACGCCAACTCCGAACATACACGTGCTAATTACATCCCGTCTATTCCCACAAGTCCTATTTCACATGAGGAAGCTACCCGTGCCATCCCCACAGTGCTTCGAGGGCTGCTCTCAATTTTCGGCCCTCGAAGGCCTTTTTTCGGCTAAGTTTATGGTGTTTTTCACGCTAACTCCCAACGTACACGTGATAATTACATCCCGTCTGTCCCCACATGTCTTATTTCACACGAGGAAGCTACCCGTGCCATCCCCGTAGTGCTTTGGGGGCTGCTCTCAATTTTCGGCCCTCGAAGGCCTTTTTTCGGCTAAGTTTATGGCATTTTTCACGCCAACTCCCAACGTACACGTGCTAATTACGTCCCGTCTATCCCCACAAGTCCTATTTCACACGAGGAAGCTACCCGTGCCATCCCCGCAGTGGTTTGCGGGCTGCTCTCAATTTTCGGCCCTCGAAGGCCTTTTTTCGGTTAAGTTTATGACGTTTTTCACACTAACTCCCAACGTACACGTGCTAATTACATCCCGTCTGTCCCCACAAGTCCTATTTGACACAAGGAAGCTACCCGTGCCATCCCCGCAGTGCATCAGGGGTTGCTCTCAATTTTCGGCCCTCGAAGGCCTTTTTTCGGCTAAGTTTATGGCCCTTTTCACGCCAACTCCCAACGTACACGTGCTAAAGGAGTGTCCTTCAACTCAATGTCAGTGATGAAATAAAGTGCAGGTGATTAGGAGTTTCAATTTAGAAGGCAACTTATGATTGGGAAAATGTGGAGGTTTTAAGGATCAAAACTTTGTTTGCATTAGCTCCTGTAACTAGGCCAAATCAGGTTCCTAATTTGTTATGGGCAGCCTCAAGCACAAGTGTTCATCCAAGCACGTTCTGGCCCACAACTCTTAACCAGTAAATTGGTATAGGTAAAGTTTATTCCCTCAGAGTGTAGTTCTTAGGCTGGTTAGTTTGGAAACAACACATTGAAGACAATTGAGTTTCTCCAAAAAAAATACAAGCGAATAGAGAAGCAACAAGGAACAATCTAAAAGTCTCAATATACAAATTAAAAACTCAAAAAACTGCTTTTGAAAAATCCAAAACAAATTTTAATTTTCTTTTACACATTATTCAGTTCAAATTAGTGTTGGTTTTATTTGTATAGATTTATTATTAAGAAACTTAATATCACATATTCATTCTTCACAGTTAGAGTTTTGAAATCAAAGCTCCTTTGTAGTAGTTATATTGTACTTAGTTATATTGTACTAAATCAAAATTCATTCTAATTTCTCTTGGTTTCTTCAATTAGTCTTAAATCTCAAATCACATTCAATTAGACTTGGTTACCTTATAGAAATCAGAGTACGGTCCTTTCTGTAATGTATCAAAACACCAGGTAGGCTGCTGCAATGTCTACTCACATTATGCCTCAAAACCTATTCGAAGCACATCACAAAAAAATATTTGCATACCAACTTTAGAAAACAATTCTATGTCAATATGATCCATATTTTTTGCAGAACTTGCAGTAGCTTGTCAAGAAAATTATGTTTACCGAATAGTAGGATGACCATCTGAACCTAGCAAGAGGGTTGTGAGCCGTGACACCACGTTGTTCAGATGATTGAGTTGTACTTGTTGTACCTCCCGTGCTTTTTTTTCTTCATCAACTTGTTTGATCAGCTGCTTTCTTTCCCTCGTAATTTCCTCCCGATCTCTTTGGCGCGCCTCTTCCTCCTACAATAGCTCCTCCCGATCTCTTTGCCGCTCCTCTTTCTCCTTCAATAGCTCCTCCCGATCTCTTTGCCGCTCCTCTTTCTCCTTCAGCAACTCCTCGTGATCACTTTGACGCTGCTCACGAAGAACCTCCAGTTCCGCTCTCATTGACTCCATATGTTTATCACGTGCTCATGCCGCACTAAAAGCTATGGAAGAGGGTTGTGGGCCTATCCCACATCCACGCGAGTAATTTTTTTTTTCCCCGAGCACTTGCCTTGATATTTCTTCGTGGGTCAATGGCAACCCCGCTTCGGTGGCTGTCACTTGTAGATTCACCATATCATCCTGTAATGCCAACAAAACAATAAAGTCAAGATAGGAGAAGGAATTTAAAAAAACTTTATTAATTGATATGCATCACACTTGGTTTCAACATTCAATACTCACATGTAGCTCATCACATTTGGGGTCAATCCAATCTCCCGTCTTCTTGGACATGTGTGCTTTCTTATAAAATTCAGGGAAATCTATATCTCCATCCTCATTTGCCTGTTACGTTTGGAAAAATTCCATTGACGAATTAGTACATGGTAATATTCAGAATCAAGAAGAATCAATCATCCATTACATTACTAAATTAACTTCTCACCATAAGCGACATTGCTATAGGAAATGATCGCGATCCACTTGTATGATTATAGGGGAGCATACCCCTATTTGCTTTACCAGCCGTAGACCGTTTCTACAAAAATATTTAAAAAAAAAAACATGCTATTCTAAGTTTCAGTGAAGAAGTTCTACATCTATTAGTGAAGAAGTTTTACATATTAACACATAAATGAATTTCAATAATGTGCTTTCTAATTAATTTGTTACCAAATGAGATTCGTCTTTCCAAGCAACATCAATAAGATATTTCCAGTCCTCCAAGTTCACTCCACTAGGCGGATGACTATAGGGGTCATTAACACCCTTTTTTCTCAAGTTCGAGGAGCTCTTGCTTTAGATTGTACCTCCAATCCTTGTATAGCAAATATGCCTTCCTATCGAGGATCTATTGAGCTTGTTCATCATTATCAAAATCATCGCCGATAACAAACTTGTCCAACAAACATAGATAGAGAATTAGTAGAACAATTAATTTAACCAATTACAAATTACATAATAAAGACATTATGCCAAGATGAATCTCATACTAGCACCGCTTGGATGACCGCATCTTTGGTACTTTGATCAATTTTTATCCATGACTTCACGCTCTGAAGAGGGCACAACCATCTAATTTGAAGGCCTAACTCATTCATCGCTGGGGTTACATTCCCTCCTGTGATTGCGTTCAACACCCGATTGACATAGACGTGTAATTCTCCCATTTTTTCCTACCAATTTTTTTTCGCATGCCTTTGCCTAATGTAGGTCCTCGAACACGAGTTGACCTCGTTTGCCCTGGTACAAAAGGGAAACGTAGTCAAAATTACAAACATTGCGAATGGACTACAAAAAAAAAATGCTGCTTCTTGGTCCTATTACTTATTTTGCTGCCTACTGTTGCTGCCAACTACTGTTTGGCTGCATAAAATCTTGGTAAATTATGCCTACTGTTGCTGCCAGCTACTGTTTGGCTGCATACAATCTTGGAAAATTATGCTACAGGAACGTAAACAAAGTCTTGGTAAATTATGCATAAAGTCTTGGTAAATTATTATGCCTACTGTTGCTACCAACTTGGAAGGTTGTGTACCTAATATTTTATTTGTTGTGTAAGTGTCCTTGTTATGTGTATAGTAATGTTTTTTTTTTTCCTTTGTTTTTATTTGCCTTTATGGGGTTTTCATTGCCTTACTTGATGACTTATGCACCCCCCCAAAAAAAAAACCAAAATTTTTTTAAACAACTAAATAGTATGCTCTTACCCACTCCACCTGGCTGCGTCTCCTCCACCACAGTTTGTGTATCATCTGGTGGTTGCGTCTCATCAGAGAACATCATCGGGGTGCCAATCTCCTGTGCACATGCTTCAAATGTTGATAGTACATTGCCACTTGTTGCTCTCTTCCGTCGCCCTGTCTTGAGTCCCAGAACCATTGTACCTACATTACGTAACAAACGTACATGAGTAATAAACATCGCATACATTAGTAGTGTAACTGCTGCAATAATGACACAACAATGTCTACTCAATAATAAAATGCTCGTTAATCAATGGTAACTACTAAACTAAGAGAACATGATGATAATACAAAAACAAATTTTGGAATTATTATTAACAACAACATAATGATCAAATATCACTAGCACTGTTCAGTCGACAAAACACCACCCTAACTCCGCCAACTAACAAATGCTCAAGAGCACCATAAGACATGATTACTCAACCAGAAAGCCACCATTTGATTTGCGAATCATGACTCACTCCTGGCATTACAAAAATTATCAGCACTTCAATTTCTCCTTTCTTTAAGATGCATTTTATGCCTTCAAATCATTGATATGGTCTCAAAAGTAGTGTTTACCCTTAAACATTTGATACCCATATGATGTGGTATTTTAAAAATATGAAATTCTATATATATGATTTATTATTAATAGTTTCCTATTTACATAAAGTTCTAATATAATATAGCCAATAATGAACAATCCCATATTAATTAATCTAGCAATTTCCTTCCTACTCAAACCCTTTATTAAATTAAAATTAATTATTTTTATTCAGAAATTTTTAAAATTAGATTTTTAATTATTTTTATTAGGTTCCCATAGCTATACATATAATTTTTTTTTGGTATATTTGCTTGGTGTTTAAAAATAATTTTATTAACTAATCAATTACATAAGTTAATAAATATTTATTTTTTAGTATCTTATAATTTCATATTAGTGGAAATCTCAAGGAACAAAATAATATCAACTCAATCGGAGAAAGAGGATATTATGTGAAGTTACCCGAGGAAGCTGACCGGCAAGAACACCCAAAAAGCCTGTTGTCCCTACCACTGTAAAGAGAAAAGCTGCCTGCATCACTGAATTAAATCAAATTCATGGAGAATATAATATTTACAAATTATGATGGTTTAAGTCTTGCAAAAATAAGAAAAGAAAATCAAATGGAAGGCACAGGTGTCATCAAATTCTAGTCTTAATGCAATATTAGAATTTCAATAATTTCAATCCCTCAGAAACTGGTAAGAGGACAATAGAACAAAGAATACATGTTGAAAACTGGCAAAATATATTGACATCCCGATGCACAGTGTATCCTGCTGATGTTGGAATAAGGTAAAATGTTGTCCTGTTCAGGTTCTTGCTCTAATTTATGCCACAAAAACTAATCTAGTTTTTTAGCAAACAGTGGTTTGGAATCTTTTTTCCCAAACACATGTTGTTCTTAACTTCTTTTTCTCTAACTAGGTCGTTTCATCAAGTCATGCTTTCAGAACACGATTTTAAACCACGTGGAAAACTCAAAACTCATCCATTAAACCAAATAATTAATGGTAGTCCCCAAAAATACAGAATGAAATTTATGCAATGGTTTGTATGCTCTTTTATTGTTACAGGTTAAACAAAATATTTAGTGCAGTGCAACTTACATCATTTCTAACACTTGGGATTGCAAGGTTCTCCGCGTTTTTAATTCCAAGAGTTGTCAGCTCCCGACGAGAGGTCTGCCGCATAAATTTGAAACAGTTAAACTACATATTTTGATACCAAGTACATTAATTAATAAAGTTTTCAAAGCAGTAAACAGATGTACATTATTTATGTACATTTATGCATAGATTTGTAGATGTGGCTAATGTTTGAGTAGCACTTTCCCAGAACTTCACACTTGTTATGGACACTGACCATACGACATGATACATATGGTTGAGAACTCCATTTGTTCGCCCAACCAACTTCACTCAGCTGATCAAGTGCCTCTTTGACAGCATCACTGTCTTTCTGCAGCAAATCATAGAGTTACTTTAGTAAAACTTCTATGCATTGTCATCAGAGACAACATACAATTTTCCCATAGCTTGTTCTAGATGTCCACAAGAATGCCTTGTGCACTAGGTAGAACTTTAAGCATGTCTTTCGGTGTTCAATATCTCTTTATTTTGGAGTAAAGAAGTTTAAGTTTAAATAAAAATTAAAAAAAAAGGAAACATCTCTTTTGCTTTCAGTAATATCTTACTCAAACTGATAGAAGTGAGAAAACAAATGTTTAAAAAAATACAAGAATAAATGTCCAACTCTGTAAGCCATCACATTTGTAAACCACTGTAATCACCCAATTCTAGTTGAACATTAAAGACATTAGAATCATTACTCACAATAAAGGAACTAAAATGTGCCAATCATAATATATAGTAGACAACACAAAGAAAATGAAACAGGTCAGTGACCCAATGTTCAGGGTAAAACTATATACACGCATGAACAGGTGAGTACAAAAAAGGGTTAATTACACGAAGACCCCTTCAACTATTAACAAATATCACTTTACCCCTTTGATCTATAAACTCATCCATTTCGACCCCTTCAACTATAAAAATGTATCACTTTCACCCCCTCCAGACCACCTCTAAAAAGGTGCGTATTTGTACGATTTTCATGGTTGAAGGGATCAATATGTACGGGTTCATAAATCAAGAGGACAAAGTGATACTCACCAATAGTTAAGGGGGTCTTTGTGTAATTAACCTTATAAAAACTATCTCATATATTATGTGAGATACTCTACATGAGCAAGAGTTCTTGTCCCTCTTCTTGAGAGTGAATTCATGCATGCATGTCCATATCGTAGAGTTTGAAGTTATTTTTTATGAAATTCTTACATGCATGTTCATATTTTAGTTGTGGTCCAAGAATTCACCATGTTTTTTAGCTCAATCTTGCATTTGATCATACTTTGGAGCATTAGAGAGGAACTCATGCAAAATTTTAGTTGAAATTGTGCTCAATTGGCATACTTTTGGGCTTGAATTTTGCAAAATGATCTTTGAAACATGTTGTATTATGAGTTTCCAAGTGTTTTCCAGAAAATTGGCCCAAAAGATAGAGTTTTCGCATGTTTGATTCTTGGTTTGAGCCTTGGAGGCAAATCTGGAAAATCCAGATTTTGGCTTCAACGCTCGCGCGAAGGATTCCACACTCGAGCGACCACCTTTGTGTTCAGAGCTCCGCTCGAGCGACGGAATGCTGGCTCGAGCGTAGATTGCAAGCTCTCAGGTTTTTGCGTGTGCAGATGCACGATCGAGCGACGAGACCCACACTTGAGCGAGGAATTGTGTCCCACGCTCGAGCGAGCATCGAGCGGAGATTTTCAGCAACTAGTACTTTTTGCATTTTTACAGACCGCTCGAGCAAGGGAGTCTACGCTCGAGCGACCCCTTTGTTTTGGTAAGCTCGCTCGAGCGGAGAAAGCTACGCTCGAGTAAGACCCCTGTTTTCAGCAAATTTTGAAAAGTGTTTTAAAGTACATTTTTGCATCCTCATTCCATCCTAGGCATTCCTAGGCCATGTTTAAGGCATCTTAATGAGGATAATGTTATAGAACCACACCAAGCCATTTAGGGGCTAAGTTATTAATCCCAAGTGTGTAACGTAGTGTGTGTGTTCATTCTGTAACTGTGTAGGGTTGGCACCCGAGGACGCTGACTAGCCTGTCTATAGCCTAGTAATCTATGAGTAACAATGTTGTAAAGTACGTTCAATTATAATTATTTCTGAACGATTGATTGTACTGCTTTTTGAAATGACAATGTTTACTGAATGAATGTTTGTCCTATTTGTAAACTGTACTCGTGGCATCCATAGTAACTTACTGTTACTGTTACTGCTACTGTACTGTTACTGTTACTGCTACTGCTACTGTTACAGAGATCTCTGTCAGTTCTAATGTTGGGAACTACTACTGTTTATTATCTTTATGGCCATCAACTGACTGTTCGGTCTGTTAAGACCTACTGTACTGTTCGGCTATTGGAAGTACCACGTATGCCTGCTATGATTTCTAATTGACTGATATGACATGAAATATGAGATACTGATTGAATAACTGATCTACAGATGCAATTGACCGTTTTAATCACTGAAAGGACATTCATTCTTAACCCCTTTACACAGTTGTTATTTACTAGGCTTTAGCTCACTGTTTATATATGTATGTAGGTGGCCAGGCACCGGACCGAAGCTAGGAGCGTCAAGTTAAGCTCTCATTTTGTCAAGCCAACCATTGTGCCTCACTTCGAGGTTCCAAGTCTGTTCAAGCCAAGACTGTTTTGGGGTGTTCCAGATTCACCCTTTTGTCTCTATTATGTAATGAATGTTTAAGACTTTTGACTGTGCAATTATGGTGAAGGGATTGGATCCCTAACTTGTATGTTACGCGTATCTGATATGTATATATGTTTATGGTTATGATGTGGACTAGTCTATAAAAGTTTTTTTCCACTCAGATTTTCACAGCTCATTAGACATCTTCTATTTACTGTTTGGCTTCCGCCAGCCCCTTAGTCTGTACTATTGTTATTACTGTTAAGTAGGCCTTTGGTAATCACGGATTACTGGCTGGTTACGATGCACAACCCTTAGGGGCGGGTTTGGGTTGTGACATGATATCTACCCAAGCCCAACCCAAACATCGAGCTAACCCAAACTCAGTTCAAAAAAACTATTACAAATTCCAAGCCCATCTATTACACACACATACATATATATAATAATTTTTAATACAAAAAATAAAACACTCCCCGATTAAATCAATCATACTTTGCATTTCATAAATAAGCATCCATAAAATAACACATCCATCAAAGCCACATCCCTCCCAAAAACATTCATAAACATTACACTTCATAAATTCATAATACTCTAGTCCAGTAATTTTTCAAATGCATTAGAGCATCTTCGATGGTTAATCAAATTTGTCATCAAATTTAAGTAAAAGTTTGATCTGATATGATACGTTTCAATTGTTTCATCAAATCTAGCCGGTCGTCTAGTTTAGAGTAAATTTTCATGAAAACTTCCCCAATCCAGTCATTCACCTAGTCATTCGACCGATTGTTTATCCAGTTGACCAGCTGGTCATCAACCAATAGTCACTTACGAAATTTGATAAAAGATTAAACGCTCCCTTAATTTGATAAAAGTTTTGATTTTGCCTTTATTTGATATGCCTTTAATGACATGATTGGAGTCAAAAAAGTAGACATTTTTCATCAAATTTAAATTTGATAAAATATCTGAATAAGGGTTGGAGATAGTCTTAGACAAACACTAGAAGATAAAAGAACAAAAAAAATAAAAATAAACAAATGATAAATAAATAAATAAATAAACCATTCATTGTTCAAACACATTTTTTGAAATTGAATTCCTTGAATTTCTTCAGCAAGGCCATGGCTAATTCAACATCTCACAAGTCAAAGCAAATCCTATTGAGAATAAAAACAAAAAATTTTAAGTTACACGAGTACAATTATATAAAAATATAAGAATACACAAATACATAATATATAACTACTAGCTCAAGTTCCCCTACTTCACTGTCATCATATGAAGAGCTACAATCACCATTAATGGTTGTTCTTGATGACACTGTTTTCCCTATATTATCAACAAATAAAAATATTAATTTAAAATAAAAATCAAATTAAATATTAATTGGGCTAGGCTGGGCTAGAAACATAAATTTCAAATTCAGCCTATTAATTTTGCGAGCCTATGTTATTAGCTCAGCCCAACCGTATAAACTAAAATATTATTTTCAAATTTTGAAAAAATAAGACTGAATTGGGTGAGTCAGGTGGATCGATATCCACCCCTACCCTAGATGGATCTGATGTTGCCGTCGATTACGTTTGGTTGATTTTTTTTTTTTTCCCTAAAAAGATATTTAAAATTTAAACCAAGTGAGATGGTTTTACCATGGTCGTATTCCAATATGACCAAGATAAGCATGGCTATGCTGAGCTGCAGAATAGACCGAACTATAGCTAGTCTGGTTCTTCCTTTTACTGCTCTTACCTCGGTTCCTCCTATACAGACCATGGCGTGATTAGACCGGGTTGACAATTAGCATGGTTCTGACCGAGCTAGCTGCAGTATTCCACGACCGTGCTAACTCTGAATGTGGTAACCTGGCGACCGAGCTATCCGCAGTGCTCTCCTGGACCGTGATAACAACATGATCTCTGGGACCAGACTAATTAAGGCCTTCTAGGATCGGACTAATTTTAAGGCCTTTTTACTCAGCCCTTCGTACTGTGGCCCATAATGATCCATTACCCAGCTCGGCCCAATTTTCATATAAATTACCCTCTCAATTGCCCCTTAATTCCATCTGCGTAGCATGATAGGGATTACCTGCCTATAAGCCGGGTTAAATACTTTAGCCTTACGACCGAGCTAAACTCTTAAGCCTTTCCAGCCGAGCTAAATTTACACCGGGCCGTACCTGTCCGGTCAAAACGTCTCTTTAGTCACAACAACTGAATCGCTTCTTATTCTAAGGATACGTGGCATACTCTCATTGGCTGAAGGCAGCTGTCACGCCGTCTTCGTACCTCGTGTTTTTTGAACAGTTCCAGCTTTTTTCCCTTCTCTTTTCACAAAACAAACCTTAATGCTGTGAATCATTCACTTTATTTTTTACCTTCTCTCCCTTGCCAGCCTCTGATATTCCTCAACCCTGAGCTTGCTGAGTTCGTGTCCTTCACTGTCTTTGCTTCCATCTTCATTTTCCTCCTCTTGACCTCGTAAGCTACTCAAATCTGTCTTGTTTTCATTTTCGCATTTGTTTTTTACAATCCATGGCATATTGTTTCGTGTTTTTGGCAAAACACATTTTTTGCTTGGTCATGCGTTTTTCTGGAAAAACACTTAGTAATAGAACCACTTGTATTTCACTAAGCAATCTGTAGAACACTGTATTTGATCCAAAATCATAATATAACTGAACTAAAAAGTTGTTTGTAGTTGCTGTCAATCTAGCCAGACTATCAACCAAACTTATCATTTCATATACCTGTAGTTTCAACAAGTCAAACCATCTTTTATTTTAACTTAGACGGGCTAACAGACCGTAAGTCACGACCCAAACCCGGCCCTATGGGTTTAGCACCGTAACCGCCCAGTAATCCGAGATTACCGAAGGCCTGCAGAACAGTAATACAGTGAAACAGAGTACAGGGCCTGGCGGAAGCCAAAACAGTAAATAAACAATGCCCAATGAGCTATGACAGTCTGTATGCAAAAAGACTTTTCATACATTATACGCAACCAGTAC